ACTACACAAAAGATAAAAGCACATGTACCTTTGGTTTTCGATGCAATACAAAATTCATAACAAGCAGGTGAAGATATTGTGCGTTTAAAACTCAATCACCGTATCGAAGATCTAAAGTCGAGGATAACGAGTATGGAGGAACTTGTAAAGAAGAGATCTGAGAATTGGTCAAGAGTAAGGCTAGATGAGCTGCAAGACAAAATTGAAGCCGATAATGATCGTATGACTGAGCTGGTCAAACTGCAAAGTGGGGAAAGCAAATCTCACCGCCAACGTTTGCAACAGATGAATAAACGCGAGACACGGAAGCTCCTTGTTCTGAACCATGTAGGAAAGAGAAAGCTTGGTGACCAAGGAAGGAAGCCATTAATTGACAGTGATACTGAGGAACAAATTGCGAAAGCCATCGAAGATAAAGCGACGTATCATGGTCGAAGGCATAACACGACTATGTACACAAACCGTCGTGTTAAAGTTGCTGATTTACCTGGTATAGCAAACCATTTTTTAGCATTAAAAGGAAAGCCTCTGGTCAGATCAAAGACTACCGTTTGGAACTGGTCTGAGCCTCGGCGTAAAAATTCAATCCAAGCAAAGTTTCATTTAGGGAAAGGCCTTTTTTGTACCAAAAAACCTCCCAAAACTGAGGCTTCTGAAAATGAATCAACACATCATCAGAGAGCACATGTTAACAATGTTAAGATGTACTTCTTTTCTCGGAAAACTGAAGATCATAAAAAATGTTGTTTGTGCCGGTCAATAGATGATAAGGCATATATAAGGCCTGGCACGGGGGAAGGAATGAATCACGCTAGGAATCAGAGAATCTTGACACTCAGTGCAGATGAGAGGGCTCGGAAACTTCCACTCCATGACTGGCCAGAAAGAAAGATGTATATAACACCATCTGCCCACCGCATTTTTTCTAAAGTTGGCGAAACCATAGAGGACAATGAAAAGTTAATCACTGACGAGGTCTACCATTTCGTATTTACAGGGCCGAATTTTTTTATTGGTTCCAGTGGATCTGTATGGGCAAGTGAAACAGTGAACTTGAGGTACTTGTATCCTAACATTTTCGAAATGTCAGAAAAAAAATCTGACTTTTCGTCTGCATTTCGTTCTATATGTGCTCAACTTCACGATTCCGTATTCTTATATAATGACATGTGTGAACCTGGGGATTTCAGTCGTGCAAAACCCGAAGCTCATGAGAATCCCCATACATACTATGAACAGGAAAGGCTTGGTAGATTACATACAAGAATTGATAAAACCTTTATCTTGGGAAATAACTTCGAGCAGCTCAACGAGAGCGAGAAAACAGTTTTTACAAATAGAGTGCAATCTTTAGTAGACAACATCATTTGGAATGTTAAGAATGCACAGCGTATTTTAGAAAATCCAAGCAAGCAGTCCACCGATTTCATATGTGAGATCCAAGATCTACAACAAGGGTGTCAGAAATTGCTTCAAAGACTGAATGAGTTTGAGCTTCCAGGGGTCAAACCAGGGTGGTGTGATTTAACTGACGCAGGACCAGGAGTAGGTGTGTCTAATTTTGAAGTCAGATTTCGAGATGCCGAGTTATTAAGGATTTGGAACTCTGACTACCGCATCAGGGTTCATAGAGCACGAGAAGACAGTGGCCAAGGAGAAGCAGAAAGAACAAATTCTGCAGTAGGAGATGCAGTTATTGATAGTGGATCAATAAAATGGGAATATTTTCCAAGATTCCATGACAAATCAGACGAAGAAATCGAGAAGATGACACTGAAAGACTATGAAAAACACGAAGATGAAAGAATTGAAAGAAACGCTTGGAGAGTTGCTAATGAAATAGCCTTACGCATTGATGATGCACCCATTCTGTCAGACTATAAAAGCACCTGACAATTCAAAAAGTAATGTACCCGGCTATAACTATTTTGTCAAAATTTGTGACTATATTAGTGATCATTATGATATTGGAGAACTATACATGGAGTTTATCAAGGATGCCTGCATAGTAAAGAAAGGAAGAAAGTGCGTTTCGTGTGGCAATGGTTGGCTTGGTTCTGTGATGGACACTAGGATTCCGCGCCCTTTCCCAGATATCGAGACATCCAGATATAAAAGTGTTTTTGAATCTCCTGCATGTTTGGATGGAAAGCCTCGACCAGTGAACGACTATATGCCAAGAGCGCAAATTAAAAAATATTTCGCAGAAGGAAAGTTGGCAACAGCAAAAGAGATAGCTGAATTTTCTGTAGCTTTTGTGGTTTCTGAGGAGCTGGTTAAGAATTACATAGACCATTTAAAACACTTATCCTATTGCAAAAATCTACGAACTCAGGAAACTGCTCAGAAGAAGCGCGCGAGAGCATCTAAGAGCTATGGAGATTACAATTGGGAGGAGCTTCTTCTGACTGAAGGGCTAAATTCTCTTTACGTTGCTGAACTTGACTTATATTTGAAGAATCACTCGTTACCTTGGAAAAAAAAGCTGAAAAAAGAAAAACTGGAACTGATTATCACTCATTTGAAAGAGACTAGGGCTGAGGCATTGAGAACCATGACTGTAACAGGGCAAAGTCTTTTACAAGAGCCAGAAGCAGTCTCAGATGATGATGATGATGATGATGATGATGATGATGATGATGATGATGATGATGATGGTGACGAAGGCGACGACACTGTCTTGGGGGAAACACGGAGTGAGGAGAGTGAGAGTGAGGAGAGCGAGTGTTAGGAGAGTGAGAGTGAGGAGAGCGAGTGTGAGGAGAGTGTGAATGAGGAGAGCGAGAGTGAGGAGGGTGACGAGAGTGAGTTTGAGCCACTCGCAAAGAGACCTTGTAGCACAAGAAGTGGGCGTCATGCATCAAGTTTCATACTCTAGTTCTGTATCAACATTTTGTCGAAATGAAATAAGAAACAGGAATTATAAGAGCGTCCAACAGCATATTTTCATTTCTTTTTCTTCTTCAGGAAAAAATGGTTCCCCCTATGCTCGATGTAATTTTCATTGGAAATTTCCCACAGCCCCCGCCTAAATCATAGTAGGGAAAAAGAGTGACCCCCCCCCCTCAAAATCATCATAGCCCACCCTCTAGGTAAATTATGAACGCTCCCTAAACGAGCAAACTGTTTCTAACCCTTGGCAATCGAATACTTTTAATTGGTTAGTTGGTAACTGTAATAAGGTCCCAACAAGGTTCTATTATTTTGATTTACCTGACAGAGCTTCTTCTTCTAAGAAATGAAATAATTGTGGCAATCAGAATGAAAATATGTTTCTCATCTTCCTCGATGCATGCTTCCTTTCTCGGTCTCCTCGTGGCTGTGAGAAAATAACCATTTGACCTACACCCATCCAAACCTCTTCTTTCATTGGCCCCTGTAACCTGCACTACCTATAGTTTTCAGGGATAGGGGCATTGTTATGTCACCATCCCCATTGTTTTCCCAGCCAATCACAAACCTCGTTTGGAATGGGTGCCGGTCGGCCCCCTATAACAGCCATAGCCAAGTGACTTTTTCGGCGCGAAAATACCTTCCACTTTGCTGGAGGGAGGGGTGGGGGGTTAACGTTGTTGTTTTAAGCGCTTTTTGGAATACACATATTTTTCCAGATTGGTAAAGATCATTATTAGGATATTACAACCATTTTTATGTTTTTTACTTTCATTACGATTTTTTTTAACCTCTTGAATTTTTATCCCGTTTCTCGTGTTCTCGTTGCTGCGTTACTCTGTTTAGTAACACCCAGCCCAAAACTATATTACAAAAGTTATTTTACGAGACATTTTTATGCAGTCTTAAAGCTTTGGGTAACTGGTAAATGCATGTGCAACATGAAACCAGTGGGAACTTTTGCGCGCTTGAACTGCTTTCTTGAAAATTGTTGACATTTGCGGCAATTTCGCGAATAAAAAAATGTATTTTTATTGAATTTTTGAACTTTTCCAAATTTCTCAAAATGTAAAGCGCTGGGGGATTTCTTGACATCATTTCTTGAAATAGTTCACCTAAAGGGTTGCTTGGGTGGTATTAGCCAAAATTCGAAATTGAGATTCTCAATATTTTCCGACATTGGCTCTTAAGAGTTTTTGTCTGTAAGATTCGAACTATATTGAAAAGTCGCTGCCACACTATCTCACCGACTTGGCTAAAAATTGGCATGCAGACTTGATTTGGGGTCTTTAATAAGGAATAGGTAACTTTAGGTTCTAATTCCTCCCATTTCGGAAATTACCGACATGGCCGGTTTTGGGGTGCTTCGGACCGGCGCATGCATATTGGCTAATAGAAGCTGTTTTTGAGCCTTCGACTACAACCCTGTCTTCAAAGCTAATCTTCCTTTGCCGATACAGATTGAGAGAACTGTCCCTCTTCATTGTATTTTTAGAAACTACTTGGAAATTGATAACGTTTTCGCAACGATCGATTAAAAGTTTTGTTGGTATACTTTTTTTAATTTTTTACACCCGCAAAATTAACAGAAATTCAAAGGCGTATATCTCTCTTGCCACATCGCATTGAAGCTTGCCACTCTGCCTGAACACTGGTCGTTTGTAGTTAAATCGAGTGCGTTGATAAAAAAATTGGGCAAAACGGAGCAGAAACAAAAGTAATGAATGGAAGAGTGTTCTAGCTACTTTGTCAATAAGCTTTGCACCGAAGACTCGCCAGGTGTTGCCAACATTACAATCGATAATAGAGTTTCTGAGTGATCTGTATAATAAACTTAGCCATGTAATATTAGCGATAGCTCTGTTGCTAAAAACCGGATAAAAAGGCAGATTGTGTAAGGAAAAGGAAAATGAATTTGTTGTATTTATGCTATGCCGCGTAAAAAAAATGCAACCATGACAATCGAACTGGAATTTTCCTGATTTTCCTCCACTTTCTTTATCGACCGAGAGCTTTTAAAATTAACCATAATAATGAAAATTGAAATGCATTACCTTAGTCGACAACAAAGATGCCAATTTTCATCTTGATCGAAAAAAAGTAATCTTTTTCCACGCATACCGCGGGTCGTCAGGTTCCTTGCATAGCGTTAAAACTCAAGTGAAACCGCCTTGTTTCAAACAACTGAATTGAAGAATCCGTGAAAATCTTAGCCAGGCAAGAAATAATGGAAGTTGATATAAGTCATCATTATTAATGAGCGAGGATGCAATGATAGCTCCACAGTGTTTGAGGATTCGCTTAAAACTCATGAGACATGAGCCCTTGAAATAAACATCCTTACTTCCGGTTTTACAAATTGGGCGTTGGCAAAATAATAAATAGACTCAGTCTATCTTGTACACCATTAACAACGGTTCCGTGCAAAATTTTCAGGTATTTTGTTCCAATCACGAAGCTCGTTTTGAGGAGATTCTTGGTCTTTCTATAAACTATTTTGTGATAAACAGGAAAATTGGTTTGGAAGGGGTTGAGAAGAATGAGGGATGAGCACAGGAGATACATAAACTCCAGTCACCCCACCGAGGGGCTTCAAAACCGTGCGCAAATGCCCCACCCTAGGGACAATTCCAGATTTTCATTTTCTTGAAAAAGCTCAGAATCGCTAATCCATGCATGGATAACTCAAGATAGTCCTAATTCTAAGTAAAGGAAACAGTAAAGAAAATTCAGTTAGCGACCAGAGTGTTTATCCGATATCGCGAACAACAAGGGTGTTCTTTCACGGAGTGATTGAAGATGTGTCTGCAGTTTAATGTAAAATCATTCACCATGCTTACTATCCTTTCGACAACATAAGTGTACCGATTGACGTAATATCAGTGGTATAAAAAACGAACGCTTTTTACCGTAGGACGATGACGTCATCATGCAAAAGGCGTCTTCACTCTGGCATCCTCAATTTCAAACCGTCAAAACCTAATTTTCTCTGCTCGTCAACTCAAAAACGCCTCTAAGGACAAGTAGAGATAATGTGCTTGTTATTAAGACGTCCAACATAAGAGGAAACGTTCATAATCAATTTGGTCAATGCATTAATAAAGGGATACATTCTCCTTTACCCTTAGGGACAGAGTTCAAAAGCCCAAGAGATTTTTATTTCAGCTCTAGCATGTGTTGTCTAGCGATTTGCCTTGAGCTGCTCTGAATTTTCGAGGTCAAACAGGCTGTGCCCATCGTACATAATCTTGCCTGGGCTCCCTTGAAAAATTGCACTTGATCAGAAGCCTTCAAGTTCATTATCCGCCGAGACAACTTCATGATCTATTTTAATGGGTGGTTTTCTGGAACTATCGTATGGCTTGTCCTTTCTGGTCGTCACTATATTAGCGAGCAAATTTCAATTTCTCTCCAGCAAAAGTGTCCATCAGGAGCGTAGCCAGGATTTTCCAGGTGTGCTCACAATTTTCAAAACTTACCCTCACTTCTTACTCAGTTCTCCCGTAACGTTTCCCCATTACGTTTGCTAATTCTTTTAACTAGGTGAGGTTATGCGTGGATAAAATGACAATTGCAATCGGTGAGAAAATTAGGTTAGACACTTTGCTCTCAAGGACGGCTCTCACTTTTTGCTGACACTTTCTACCTTAGAAGGGAAAAGTGGAGCTTTGCCTTTCCCACTCCCAGTAAACAATGTCGTTCGGCTGTTCAAACTTAAACTACCCAACTTTAATTTGTAATAAAGGTATAAGAGTAGGAATCCAAATTGTTTTCAAATGTTCTTTAAAATGTACGCCATGCAAATGGCGTGTTTCACTAATTTTAACACGAAGATTGTGAAGCAGGGTCTAGTGAGTACGGGGGCTAATGCTCCATGGTAAAAATGTGAAATTGAAAAGAAAAATCTTTTACAATAGGAGTACAAATTTTTAGTTATTTTATCGAGTGGTGAAAAAACACGAATTTGTTTCTTCTTGAATTTGTTATACTCTCATCCCATTTGAGTGTTTTCAGTCTTTCCGATAAGCCCGTCGGGTATCGGAAATTACCGTAACTGATCGATTAAGCGCCGCAGCGCTTATTTCATTTTCCATGTTAATGGTGCTGCGCCTATTAGGGAGCGGTGCTTATTTCAACTACACGTAAAACAGAAAGGGGAATGTAGAGAGAACTCAGAGTTGGGAAAGAAAAAGGACAAATATGGACACCTCTAACTGTTACAATGTATATGAACCTGGTTTCGAAAGTTTCCGTATATCAAATTCTTTAGAACTCACTAGTGGGTGTGGGTCTTGTTTGTCAAGCGATATGGTTTTGGTATCTTTTTATATCAAGCACCGTAACAAAGGTGGGGCGTTTATTTGTAAATCAAATTAGCGCTGCGGCGATTATTCGAGAGCGGCGTTTATTCGAGAAGCGGCGCTTAGTCGATCATTTACGGTAACTTCCCTTTTCTTTGTAAAAAAAAAGGAGAAAATGAAAGATTTCCCTCTAGTCCCTGTCTTAGATGCTTTCATGTGCATTGGTTAAATGTTCTTTTCATAACCTCCTATGTTTATAATCGCGCATTCTGACGTCATTTATCCTTAAAAAATTTGTTCGTTGAAG